GTCGGACTTCCTGCTCAACAGAGAGACTGCTTCTCCCTCTCCTGCCTGCTCATGTACTCTCTGTCAAATAAATAAAATCTTAAAAAAAAAAATAGAGAAGGAATTGTGTGACCTTTGTTGGTGGATGTGGCACTGGTAGTCACTGTGGCCACTGGGGATACCAGAGAGAACTACAAAATGGGGACAGAGGGACGCAGGAAATGTGAGAACAGTTGGGGCAGGCCATCTTCCTTTCCATCTCCTTGTGATCTCTCCCTTGATACCTGGCCGCATGCCACCAGCCACTCTCGAAGTTCCCAGGAACCTCCTAGACTCTGCGCTACCTTGGCTCTCCTGCCATGCGGCCACTCTCCACTCCCTTCTCCTTTGCTGGTCTTCCACCTTCTAGAGAGGATTTCACGAGTGCCATCTTTGGTCCTGTCTTCACGCCCTTTTCCTGTTTCTCTTCACCCCCTAAGAACTCATCCATGCTCATGGGCTCAAGTGTCAGTTCTATGCAGGTGATCCCCCTGTGCCCTGGATGCCACCTCTCCCTGACCTCCCTGCTGGTCTCGCCCTCTGGGCTGCCACTGCTTCCTGGATGTTTCCTTTTGGGAGTCCTGTCATCATCTCAAACTGCACACGTGTGAGATCGAGCTTGCCTTTCCTCCCAGTTTCCATTTTTCTGCCCATGGCATCAGCCTTCTCTCACCCACCCAAGCTCACATCTTGAGTCATCTTTGACACCTCCTCCCCAGTCCTCCCGTCCCAAATGCAAGCCTTGCCACTTGTCTTTGCAACATCTCTTGTAGCTCAATATCCTTTGCATTCTGTCTGCTAATCCAGGCCTCAGTGCCCATGTCCTGAATATTTTTTAAGATTTTATTTATTCATTTATGAGAGAGAGCAAGTAGGAGTGGAGGGAGGGGCAGAGGGACAAGCAGACTCCCACCGATGTGGGGCTCCATCCCAGGAGCTGGAGATCACAACCTGAGCCAAAGTCAGATGCTTAACTGACTGAGCCATCCAGATGCCACATGTCCTGAATATTTAATAGCTTCCCCCGTGGTCTCCCTGCCTGCAGTTCACTCTCCTGTAGCCTTCTTTCTATCTGGCCAGCCAGATTCTCGAGAATGATTCTTTTTATCCTATTTGCCTCTGGCTCAACAGCCTTCTGGCACTGTCATCACCATGGATGAGTCCAGACTCCTTGGCCTCAAACTCCGGGCCCTATGTTTAGTCCCAGCCCCTCTTGCTGGCTTTATCTCACATGACATGCCCACAGGCATCAGATTCTATTCTGGTACTTACATGCTGTGTGACCCTGGGCAGGTTTTCAACCTCGCTATGCCTGAATCTCCTCTTTAAAATCTCTTTATACAAAGTGTATCATCATTTCTAGGATTGCTGTGAGGAGAGAAGGCAATTAGAACACTGCTGGATATGTAGTGAGCACTGCAACGCTAGCTTTTCATTGCCCTGATTTTCATAAAGCAAGTGCTGCAGCTGCACACCTCTCCCCTGGGCGCACACATCTGCCTCTCCTCATTACCTTTGCTCAGCCCAGTCCCTCAATCTAGAACACTCTTCTCTGCCCACCTGATCGTACTCGCCCTTCATGGGCCACTGACCTCCCATTTTGCTTCCGATAAACACTTGTTTGCCACTTCCTGCAGTGCTACTCCAGCTGGCTGGGTGGTGGTGGGTGCATGGGGGTAGATCAACTCTGGACGGGTCATTTTACTTGGTAAGTAAGTTCATCCATTTTTAATGTTGTGGCAACTACTCAGACATATCACAGAGCAGAATACAAAACTGGCCAGAGATGCTGAAGATAAAAGATACAAGTAGTAAGAATATTTAGGGTAGAGGTGTCTTGGGTCAGCCTCCAGCTGCCCTGGGAGGGGGCTCTGCACTCATTCTGCAGCAGGAGGGTCTGAGGAGGAAGGGTGTGGTGAGTGGAAGGGGTGAGGTCCTGAAATCAGGGAGAACCATGGCAGTGGGAGGCAGTTGTCCTGTGCTCAGGGTCCCCAGAGTCAGGGTCTCTCTAACACGTGCTGCCCTCTCCTTCCTGAGGACTCAGTATCCATACCACACCTAGTTGCCCCAACATAGCCTGTGTATTACATTGGTTTGTTTTTTAACTTTCCCTGCAGTTAGATCTCTGTTTAGCAGCACCCTGAGCCACCTGGGGCTCGGGATGGTGGTGCAGGTGTAGGGCGATGCAGTAGGGAAGGCAACCCTGGCTGAGAGTCCTGCCCTAGGGTTTCCTGACTGAGCAAGTCTCAGCCTCAGTTTCCTTATCTGTGAACCATGGCAGAATACTTACCTAATGACAGTGCTCTGAGTCACTCTGGTCAAACAACAGCCCAGCAGATGGCATGGAGGGCCCTTAGTAAACATCAGACCCCTCCCAGCTGCACGAGGCTCTCAGCAAACATCAGATTCTCAAATGTTCCCACTGATACCATACCTTCCCACCCGCATCTACTCCCACATCCTTGGCCTCCCTTCCTGTCACGCTGGATGCTCCTACCTGAGGCCACCCTCTCCCTGGGCCCTGGGCCCAGCCCTTGTCTCTCTCACAAAGGCCTCACTCATACCACCCACCTTTGTCTCCTGTGGCAACGGTACCCTCCCTGTTGGCTCACTCTCTAACTGTGTGATCATGCTGTAGTGTCACTCTATCCAAAACAAAAGACAAAATGACACATCAAAACCCCTCCCTTGAGGGGCGCCTGGGTAACCCAGTCAGTTAAGGGACAAACTCTTTTTTTAAAAATGATTTTATTTATTTATTCATGAGACACACACACACACACACAGAGGCAGAGACACAGACACAGGTAGAGGGAGAAGCAGGCTGCATGCAGGAAGCCTGACATGGGACTCGATCCTGGGTCTCCAGGATCACACCCTGGGCTGCAAGCGGCACCAAACTGCTGAGCCCCTGGGGCTACCCCCTCTGGCAGACTCTTATACTGGCACTCATGGAAACTTCTTGTCCCCAGTGACCTCTGCATTGCCAAGTCCAGCATTCTGCCCTCAGGCTTCATTTTACAAGCCTCTCCAAAGTATCTGAGACCCTGGAGTACCTCCTGCCCAGGCCTCCCAGGCCCATGCCTCCAGATTTTCCTCCAGTCCCACCACCTTCCTTCTCTGTCACCTTCTCCCTCCCCTCTAAGCGTAGAAAGTGTAGGCTCATCCTTGGACCCCTCAGGTAACCTCAGTCACATTCTGGGCTTTAAACATCATAAAAAAATGCCGATGTTTACATTCTCAAATTCCGAGCTCGCGAGAATTCTAGGCTTGAGTATCCACCACCTACTCCCCAGCTCTGCTTGGGTGTCAAGTGTGAACTCCTGATTCCCCAGCATCCCCTGCCCCTCACATGGTCTTTCCCATCTTAGTCATGGGAGCTTTGGCTTTCCAGCTGCTCAGGCCAAAACCTTTGGAGTTCTCTCCTTGGCACCTCTCAGACCCACAGCCGACTGATCTCCCAACCCTGGTCCAAATCACCATCGCCTCTCTCGAGGCCAACCCCAAAAGCCTCCTGAGTGGTTTTGCTGCCTCTTCTTTCCCTCACCCCAGGAACTGTTCTCCACAAACAGCCAGAGTGATGTTTTCAACACAGAAGCTTGATTATGTCATTTATTGGCTTACAACTCACCAATGTCTTCTGTCTCACTCAGATTAAAATCCAGATTCCTTATCTCAGCCTGAAAGGCCTGTGGGATCGACCTGTTACCTCTCTGGCCTCATTTCCCAGCATACTCCTCTTGCTCCCTCTGCCTTGGGTGCACTGGCCTCCACGCTGTTCCTGGACCAGGGTGTAAACACTCCTCTCTTGGGAAGTATGCTTGGTATTCCTCTGTCCAGAGCTCTCCCATAGGTGCCAGTCCCATTCCTATACTTCATTCAGATCTCTGCTGAGATCCCACCCTGTCAGAGAGCTTGCCTGATCAACCTCTCTAAGCACCCCCGGCATTCTTTGATCTCTATCCCTAATTTTGCCTACCACTGACCACCACATGGCTCATTACCACATACAGGTAATACTTACCTGTATGTCTTCTTTTGTCTCCTCACCACTAACAACACCCAAGAGGACCTCTAGAGCCCGGCACACAGCAAGTACCCAGCAGATGGGCAGGGGCATGGCTGTAGACATGAAGAGCCTGGTGCACATGGCCTCTCGTCTCTGTACCACCACCAGCCTGCCAGTGCTGCCCAGCAACCCTACACAGCTTTTCTGAGCTTCAGGCTCCTTCTCTATAAAATCTACCTTAACAGCCCTTTAGGAACTTTAGAGATGATTCATTTAAGATCCTTGAGGCACGGGCAGTGGCGAGTACAGTGGGGGCTAGAGAGGCCACTTGGCTGCTCTATAGGCCTGTCCCCAAGGAGTTAATAGCAGTGCTGTCTCTGCCCAGGATGCAGAGCTGGACAGCCAGTACAGATAAACACAGCGTGAGGAACACGGACTCCATTCTCCATATGATACCATCCCAGGGGCCCCTAAACATTGTTTCTGCTCTACCCAGTTCCCCCACCAAAGCCCACCAGATGATGGCCATCTCTGAGCAGGACCTGCAGGTTGAGAGCCTCGTCAACCCTGCTTTGGATCCAGGTGGCCCCAGTGTGGGAAGCAGAGGTGCTTGGCGGGAATGTGTAGGTGTGGACCTTATGAGGTGTGAACCCTATGGATTCTCCTCTGACAAAGGACCCATTTTTGTGAGGTGGGCCACACTGGGCAGGCTAGGTAGCCCGGCAGGTCCGTTTTCTCTGGCTGGTCTTCGAAGGTGACTAAAGAGTTGTTTCCCTGTCCACCACCAGGGGGCGCCAGAGGCCGATCAGCTCTAATGTGGACTTGTCCCACGGTCTTTTAAGGTGTCTTTCTTCTGGCCAAGGTCTAGGGCTGGGCAGCAAAGGGAAAGCATAGTGCTGGTTCTCTCCCACCTGTCAGCTTGCTGGTTGCTGGCAGCCCATTCAGGGCCACATTAAGGGACTGGAGGTTAGGCTTCCAGACTCAGTGTTCTTTATTGATAAGCATTAGGAACCCCTTGCCAGTTCTGCCCTTAGATTCCCAGCTTTGAGTAGAGAGTGCATCTTTGCCTCTTAGACATCTGCCTGAGTCCTGAGTCTAGCGGTGTCCAAGGCTGTGCCTATTTGCCACACTGTTCCCAGGACCACAGTATTTATGGTTGAAGAGGTGTGTAGCAGGCATCTGAGGGTCATGGCCAAGTCTTTATCCTCAGAGACAACTTTCCATGTAGGAAGTACAAGCTTCAGCTGTGTTGGCTCTCAGAGGGAGCTCCAGGAGTCTGCTGGTTAGATGGAGGGCTGAGCCTCAGAGACCTCCAGATTCAGCCTCTTTTCTCTATAAGATTATTTTCCTACTAAAGGTTCTTCACAGCAGAACTGAGCCAAGGGGGCAGCAACTGGCTCTCACTTGTGTCTTGAGGTCCTGGGATAGTGGGCAGGAAGTCTTAGGTGGTACCTCACAGGGGATAGAGATGCCAGAGGCTGTGCAAGGGAAGGGGTGGGGGCAGAGAAACCAGAGAGAGACAATTAAGTCCCTGATCTGATTTCACCAGCCCCAATTCTTGGCCATGGCTTATTGTCCCTGGCCAACCCCTCTGTACTAAATAGATAGTCCCTTGGGTCCTGGGTGCACTCTTACCCCACCATTAGCTCAGAGATAAGGATTATTAAAGCAATCTTCTGCTTTCCTGAGCCAAGCACCTTAGAGATCACCTTCTTGCCTGTTCAGCAAGGCCCCAAAGCCCACATTCATTTCTTCCTCAGGTCAGGGCAGTCCCCACCCTGTGGGCCAGCAGGCTGGTGGTGCCTGATGAAACCCCTGGCCCCCCTGACAGCCCTCCTGGCCTGTCTCTGACCTGCACTGGAAGCGGGGATCTCCAGGGTGGGTCTGTAGCACCTGACGCACTTCTGGGGGAGGCTCCAAGCCCATCTGCTCCGCCCGATGCCAGCGCTGCAACCGTGTGATCCCTGCCGGAGTGAGAAGAAGACACTGGCACCTCATGGGGGGTGGGGAGGAGTTCAGGCCAGAGAATGTGTATGGAGGGGTGTGTCAGGGCCTCCACACCCCCTAGTCTCAGGAGACAGTGCCCGAGAGGGTCAGGCAGGGGCTTGGGTTGCTTCAGGGACCTGCAGGTGACAGGACTGTCTCCAGGATGCGTTCCTGGGGCCTGAGAGGGTTCTCACCTGTGCAGGGCCCATACTGCCAGGCGAGATCAAACTGCCTCAGCAGCTCCAGCTCTGCTTCATCCACGCTCAGGGGCTGGGGCTCTTCCCCTGCAATGACATGCGGCTCCTCAGGCCTGCCCCCGGCCTCACAGCTGCCCCACTGCTCCCCGGCCCTCCCCACCCCTTTGCCTCTGCCGGCCACTGCCAGGCCTGCAGTAGGAAGTAGAGGACATGTTTCACTTCCCCTTCCAGCACCCCCGTCCGCCCGCGTCCTCGCAAGCCCCTCGCTGGTGTCCACTGCTCCCGCCCCCCGCACACGGAAGAGACCTAGCGCCGGTGCCAGCTCCCCCTTGCTGTGCCCAGCGGGGCCCTCCCTCCTCTTCACTACGGGGTAGGCGTCAGTGAGGAGCCGCTTCCGGCCCATGGCGGCCACCCAAGCAGGCAGAGAAGGAGGCGGCTGCGGGAAAGGAGAGAGGCCAGCGGGCACGAGAGAGACAGCTGCTGAGAGAGAGAGGGAGAGAGAGGAGAGGGGAGGGCTGGGGCCAGAGAGCGAGCCTGGGGCCAGCGACAGGCAGACGCGGCGACCCAGACAAGCCGAGAGGAAGTTCGCCGGTTCCAGGGAATGACGCGTGTCCCCACCCCCACGGGCGCACAAACAGCAGAGACCTAAGCCAATGGTTGGCCGCCTCTGCGGGGCGGGGCCCGACTCCAGCCAATGGCAGGCGGCGGAGGCCGAGGGGGCGGGGCGCCTGCCACAGCTGTGTTCTGGGGAGCAGGGGTGAGGCTGGGTGGGGGACCTGTCAAGATGCCCCAGACTGCGCCTCCTCCTGCTGCCCCCCCCATCGGGCCGCAGCGGGTCTCGGGGGGCTAATAGAGCGTTATCCTCGGCCTCTCACTTCCCCTTTTCCCTTCCTAGGCAAATGTGCTTTTCAGCCTCAGTAATCCCCGTGGCCGCTCGCTAACTCCCTAGAGTCCAGCTGGAGCCTCCACTCCCACCCCCTGTCCCGCAGAGCCTTGTGGGGGCAGGTCTGGAGGTCCGAGGAGCGTTGGGCTAATCCAGCCCCTTCCTTCCCAGCTCCCACCCCACCCCCACCGGCCCCAGGAGACCCGGCTGGAGAAGCCCATGGGTTCCAAAGCTCCTTTCTCACAGTCTGTGCCCAAAGACCCTGCCCACTCTCAGTCCAGGCAAGCGTTGGCCTCGTCGACTCTCCTGGGGTCACGTAGCGCGCCCATGCCCACCCTACTAGTCAGGAAGATTCCACACTGAGCAGGAGGCCAGCGTGTTTGTGTCCCCACTTTTGTTTATCAGTAAAATCTGCCCTGTCTCACCAATGTGACAGTAAGAGCAGAAAATACCAACCTTATAAACTAAACACTTACATGGCACTTACGGTGTGCCAAGTACTGTTCTCAGCGCTTTCCCACATACTCACTCAACTAAAATAGATGTAAAATGAATGGTTCCTTAAAAAAAAAAAAAAGTTCTTTTTTTTTAAAGTAATCTTTACCCCTCAACATGGGGCTTGAGCTCATGATCCGAGATCAAGAGTTGGGTGCTCCACAGACAGAGACAGCCAGGCGCCCCATAAAATGGTTTTTGAAAGTAGGAAGTGCTGATCGTCACAGGCATTGTGGGGCCCCAGTTAAATCACAGGCCCTCTGTGCCCTCTCCACAGAGGAGCTCAGAGGCTAACAGGGTAGGCAGATGGGACACACAAGTTGTCAATGCAAGGACAAAATTACTAAGAAACAGGAAAGGGGAGAAGGGTGGGTCAGAGAGGAATTGGACCACAGCGTTAGCTTAACACTGGAAGACCTCCTGGAGGAGGCGGGCTGCTGTAAACAGTGTCTCTCAATTCTCCACCCATGACCTTTGTCCCTTGGGCTCCTGTCATCGCTGAGTCACCCCTACACCCGCCTCCCCCTCACCAACTTCCTGGCAGCAGGCAAAAGTGCTGGTCAGTGGGAGTCTGGGAATCAGCACAGGGACCAGCCCAGCTCTAACTGCCCTTTAGAGATCCTATCTGGTTCTTCCAGGAGTACAAGGGTCCACTCAGAAGTTTCTGTCTACACCCTCGTCCAACTGCTCTGGGCTCTGGGTGCTCTAAGATACAAGTAAGGTGGGCATAAGAGAGGAAAAGCTCTGGAGAGGAGACCACCAAAGGGAAGGAGCAAGAGCAGCCATGTCTTCAACGGCCTCCTCCTGCCTGGCTCTCCCTATCCACTTCCTTGAGGAGGGCTGAGTGGGAGTCAGAGCTCATGAATGTACTGCACAGAGCTGGAGGGCCCTTCCCTGCTTTATTTTCTGGGCTGGGCCTGGCCTAATCCCCCATCTGCCTCATGGACTAAGTGGGGCCCATATGGAGGGAGACAGGGGCCTGGTGCACTGGGGAGGAACACAGGAGGCCCTCTCTACCAGGCCCAGGGAGGGCTGAGGTGCTGTGTCCAGTCAGGCACTAAACACTCTACAGAGGGACGGTGCCCAGGCTCCTCTCCCCAGAGGGTGTTCCCAGAGGTGTGTGGCACCTCACTCCGGAGTCCACAGAGCCCTGGGGGAGTAGGAAGCCATGGGTGGGGCAGACCCCTCCTCATTCCTGATCCTTCCCACCCCTGAAAGCTGATAGCCGTGGGGCCCTGCCACCGCCCAGGGAGCGTGAAATGGGGTGTGCCGCTGGGCGGCCACAGTGGCTCCTACTGCCGCCCGAGCTCATTCCCTCTCTCCTCTGGCACCCTGACCTGCTCTGTGGGCACTGCCTGGGCATCCTGCCAGCTGCCCCCAGCTCTGCCTGGCCCGGGCCAGGCTAGCCTCTCCCACCTGGCCTGGAAGATGTCCCCCCAGTCCCGGGGAAGAATCAGGGTTGTCAACTCAAGTGCAGGCACCCGAAGGCTGGGTTTCTCCCCTGGAGTCCAGAGAACTCTCCACAGGCAGCATTGCCCTCCTGTCCTAGTCAGACAATAGTGAGACTGAGTGCCCCCTGGGAGCTTTGGAGCCACCCCTGTCAAATAGACATCCTTCCCCAACTCGGTATCTCACCAAGTTGATCCCTGGGGTGTGCCGGCCACTAGAACCTGGGCCTGCCCATCCTCAGGTCTTTTCCTTCTCCACTCGTCCAACCCCGTCTGCCTCCTCTCACCTTTCTTCCTGGAACCCCTTTCCCTACTCAGGCAGCCTCCTGGCCTGTCCCCAAAACTGCTGTCACATGGGGACTATCACAAGTCAGGCTTCAGGCTGGAGGGCCAGGCCAGAGGTCTGAGTTGGGAGCTACCTTCTCCCTGGGTCAGGGCATTTCCTGAGACCCAGGAGCCTGTTTCTGTGTCAGCTCTGACCCCCCAGAGGCTGGTGATGGGACTGGCAGGAGTGACCTTTGCACCTGGGCCTGGGAACACTCAAGGGGCTTGCCTGCCAACATCTCTGGAGAACCCAAGAGAAAAACAGAGCAAAGAATTGGAACAGGAGCCCAGCACCTTCCTGAAGGCTGAGGCCCACTGCCTACTGCTCCAAGGGGAAGGGGGATTAGGCCTGGCTTAGCTCAATGTGGCAGGGTGGGGGGGCCTCAGCATTGCGCAGGCGCAGGTGCCCTGGGAGCCCTTTCCCCCTCCCCCTGCTCACAATAGGGCTTGTGAAGGGAGCCAGCTCCAGCTAGGAAGGTGGGGGCAGGTAGAGGGAAGGAAGCAGCTGCCTGGGGCCCAACAGGCTATGGGGCGTAGCCTGCTGTCCTCCTTCTTCCCAGCACCCCCCTTTCCTCAGGCCTTCAGGCCCTGCCACCCACCCTGAGCTGGAGATTCTGGGCAGCCATACTCATATCCCCAGCCCCCACATATTCACACTCCCTGGGCCCCATTCCCCACCCTGTGGGCAAAAATTCCTTCAGGCAGCTCCTCCTAGTCCATCCTGACCCTCCCAGACACCTCACCTCTCCCTGTTCCAGGATCTCTAGACTAGTGGGCTTAAGGGGCAGGAACCCGGTAGAAGACACAGGTTCCCGTGCACCTGGGGTTTTCTGCCACTGCCTGTCTTTTCAGCTAACCACCCCCTCCAAAGCTCCCATTACCTCCCCTTTCACCTTGGCCAGCCTGGCTCCTTAGAAACTGGGGAGATTTGCAGTGATCCTTCTGGCCATTTCTCACCTTGGCCACCAGGTGTCAGACTTTGCCTAGCTGGGTGGGAGATCCAGTTAGTTTCCACCCTATCCACCGGGCCCTAGAGATTGGGCAAGCTGGGAAGGGGCCTAGAGGAGATCTCTGAACTCAGGAGGCTGAAAGACCTTGAAGGTTGAGGGAAAGAAAGGGCTGGAAGTCTGGTCCTACAGTTCTAAGCTACTCCCTCATTGTCCCCACCCCCACCTCACTGACAAGGGCTTTGTCCACTGCTGGGAATTGGGGAACCAGGCTGAGTCAGGGAGCTCAAGAATTGAAGGGACAAAGGCAGGGACAGTTGTGGCTCCAGAGAAGAAGGGGGAGCTGAGAGGCAGCCATCCATCAGAGCACTCGGCCAGGGGCCTGGATCACTGGCCCTTACCCCGTAGGTTAAGGGGAACAAGGGCTTCCCTTGGCCCTTCCCCATCTGGGGTTGGCTGTGGCCAGTGGGTGAATGCATGCACAGGGTCCATAAGTTGAGTGCTTGAATGAGTCTGTTCATGTCCTGAGAGGGCCCTAAGTCCTTGGGTGTTGGGCCAGTCTTTGCAAAAGCAAGAAGCTGGCAAGGCATTAACTACCCTTTTGCCACCCTCCACCTCTCTATACCCATTCCTACCCCTGCCTCCAAAGTTGCTTCCCCCAAGTGACAGTTCTCTACCTTCTGCACATCTTGTCATACCCAGTTTCCAGATACCCAAGGTGATGCTGGGATTTCTAATCCACCCTGTGCTATCTGGATGGAGGTGATGGGGAAGAGAGGCTTCCCTCCCTCCCTCGCTCTCTCACACCCTTCCCAGCTTTCTTGGAGCTGAAGGACTTCTAGAGGTGTCCTCCTCCCCGAGGACTGCAGGGCCCCAGGCACCCCAGGTTCTTAGGCTGACCTCTGCATGGGTGGGCCCCTGACTCTAAGGCTGTATGTAAAACGTGGCACCTGGCTTGTCGTTGACCAAGAGCTACCTGCCTCATAGTCCACGGCTCCAAAACCCAAAGGAGTGACTCACACCCCCACACCACCATCAGTAGGGAGCTATTTGGGGGAGAGTTCATGAACTCAAGCTCTGTAATGCTTCGGTTTCTGACTTGGCCCTCCCATGTCCACCTCCCCCAGCTTGCTGCCTAGGGCACCTCCTTTGCATCTTCCTCAGGACTGAGTTCGAGTGCTGGCCCATCCTTTCCGGCCACTCTCCTCCCTTGTTCCCCTCTGCTGCCAGTCCTGTGTGCCCTGTGGCTCTCAGACACTCAAAAGCACCATTTCCAGCCCTCTGGAGTCTCGAACCTCGATTCTCTGCCATTCCTGTTTTGTCAGTCCTCAGCCTTGGAAAGTACCCTGTCTTCTCTCTGTCCTTGCCTCTGGTCATCTCTGGCTTGCTAGAGAATGTCACAGTCCATGACAGAGGTGTGTGTGCTGATGTCACCTGGCTCCACATGGCAGCCCAGCAATGCTTTTGATTCCCCTTCTCCGCTCATCCCTGGTTCCATTCTCTAAGGCTCTACATGCTTCTCCAACTGCCAGAGCTCCTGCAGCAATTTCATGTTTAGATCTCCTGTTTAAAAACAACAGCAAACCAGGCAACCACACACAAAACACCTTCCCCAGGGCAGCCCGGGTGGCTCAGCAGTTTAGCGTTGCTTTCAGCCCAGGGTGTGATCCTGGAGACCCGGGATCGAGTCCCACGTCAGGCTCCCTGCATGGAGCCTGCTTCTCCCTCTGCCTGTGTCTCTGCCTCTCTCTCTCTCTCATGAATAAATAAAATTTAAAAACAACAACAAAAAAAAACCTTCCCTGACCCTGCTACCTGCCTCGGTATTCCCTTTGCCACCAACCCCTTCCTCTTTCTTACCACCTCGTTTAAGCTCAGAATTTGATGTCTGCCGCCCAACTGCTCTTGCAAAGGTCACCTGAGACTTCCTGATCTCCCAGTGGGTTTCCCCAGAGTTCTTCCCTCAGCGCTTCTGAGGCACTTCTCTTCTCTTAACTTCTCATACACCATTGTCTTGACACTCTCTAAATCAGCTTACATTAAATGATCAAATACTTTAGTGGGGTGCAGGCATTGTGCTAAAATGCCATAGGGACACTAAAATGAGTAAATCGTGAAACCCGCCCTGGAGACACTGTCAGCTTAAAAGGGAGACAGACATACTGAACTGACCCTTGTCCTGCCCTTGTCCAAATCCTACCTGGAGAGGCCATGCAGAAGCACTGACTGACTGACTGCGTTAGGCGCTGGAAGGGCACTGGTGACCGAAGACACCACTGCCTCCCTTAGAGGGCTTACAGACCAGCACCCTCCCCAGAGGGACACCATCACCCCTTCCCTGACTCCCAGGGCTTTCGCCTGGGTCTTTCTGTAGTTAATCAAATCCTGCCTTAGATTTTAGCATTTAGAACAAGGGATCCCTTTTCTAGGCTGTTTTGTTCAACGAACTAATTCAACACCTTCTTTAAGCTTGCGCCTAAACTGGGATGGAGAGATGGGGAAAACTCAGAGTCTGCCCTGCAAGGAGCTTGCAGTACAGGAGTGCAGGATATGCCTTCCTCCTCCCTGTACTCTGTATAGCTTGCTTGGTGCCTTACACATTGCAGGCTGCTACTCATTTTGCCCCAGCGTGGAGACAGCCCAGATGCCCCCTCCTTCCTATCTCCCCTCCTTCCTATCTCGTTAGGCAGGAAGCAGGCCGGCAGGATATCTAGACAGAGCCTGGGCAGATATCCCTGCTGGAATAGGCTGCAACCCTCTACGGGGCATATTCCCTCCCACTCTGGGACATCCAGCAGTACCCAGCTCGCCCACAAGCAAGTCCAGTAGTTCCTGCACCTGCACTCATGCACTCGTCGGTGATTTCAGGTGAGCAGGTCTTCTCTCCCCAGATGGATTGCAGGCTCCGCAAGAGCAGAAGCTAAGTTAGGTCTCAGACTTCTGGATTTCCTACTCATTAGCATAATGGTGGGCAGGTCTTTAAAGTATTTATCAATTGCTTGGCTTCATTTGTTACTTGCTTCATTTGTTACTTGCTTTGCTTAGGACACATCTCCTGGAGGCCCTGGGAAAATACCTCTGTTACCTGGGAGCAGTCAGCCCCTTAACTAACCCAGTGGCTCTTCACTAGAGGGTCATGGCAGGCTGATCTGTCCCAAGTAACCTATGATTACCAATCACTGCTGCTGTGGCCAGGCACCTCACCTTTATCGTTTCTCTCATCCTTCAAAAAGTCTTAGAAGTCTATCTAATTATGCCCATTTTATAGATGAGGAAGCTGGAGAATAGAGAGCTTTAAGTAATTTTTCCAAAGTCACTCCAGGAGGCTACAAGGCTGGGCCTGGAGCTAAGGCCATCCTTTGAATAGCATGTACCCCACTGGCTTGCAGACCAATCTGAGGTTTTCTCTTGCCTCCTAACCTGCTGTCTTACACTGGAAAGGAAGCAGTCACAGCTGAGACTTGTGACTTGGCCCGCCGTCATCATGTTCCCCAGCAGACCAAGGGGATTGAGGTGAGGGTCACTGCTGGGGGCCCCAGTGGGCGGCCACAGGTGGGGGTCCTGGTAAGGCTGAGGGCTGACATGCGCATGGCCCATCCAAAGGGTAGGTGCACAACTCTGCAGGGGACAGACCTATAAGACCCTTAAAGTAATCTTGAGAGGTGAGGCGCACTGAGCAAAGGCTGCGAGGGGGAAGACAAGATGTTGGAAGGACTAAAAGAACAGGCCGTGGGTGGAGGAGCAGAGTGTGCTGTGCACACCCTCCCTGTGGACAGAGCAAAGCCTCTCCCCCTAGCTCTTTGCCTCTTGAGCTATCCCCCGGACTGTCAGGTTCCAAGCCAGTTGGGCGCACAGGAGCCCAGGAGGGGAAGGGCCAGGAGGAGGGGCAAGGCCACAGTGGAGTCCTGGGGCAAGCATTTTATTTGTTAATACAAGAATAGAAATTCTGCAATAAATATAATCTAATAAATAACATCTCCAAATAAATAAATATTAATACAACAAACTTAGAGTCATGAGTGGGTGAGGCTGGGGGGCAGGGCCTGGGGGAGCTGCCCCCCCGCACCTCGCAATGCTACTGCAATGTAAACTTTCAGGGAACCCTGTGGCTGTGGCTCTGGTTGCCCTCCCCAGCCTGGGCAACCCTCAGACAGCCTGGAAAGGGGATGGGGAGGAGGCACCATGACGCCAATGACAAGATGCAAGGCAAGGTCCTTTTGGCTGTCATCCTGTGCCACCGACGGCCCTGGGTCCCGTCTGTCCCTGCCCCTATGTTTTTGGTATGACCTACAATGCAGACCCTACCTCTTCTACTTTCAAAGCCCATCTCTTCCTGTTTGGACTTGCCATTGTGTCTGTTTCCTGAATTGGGTGTACTGAGTTATTTGGGGGTAGGGGAGCAACCCCCATCTAGGAAGAGTGGGGCAGCCAAAGGGTTTCACCCCAGAAAGGCATGTACTGTAGTGGCCCCCCTCCCTGCCCCAGAAGCATGCTTCCTGGAAGTGCTACAGGAGGGGCTGTGTGGCACTAGCGAGTGCTGGGCAGGAAGCAGGAAGCCAAGAGAGTCTTTGCACCAACCTGAACCACTTAGAGCTCCCTGAAGCACTCCTTCCTGTGGAAATGGGACCAGGCCTATTGCACCTCTTCCCCAGACCTGCAGGACTCTGGGAAGCAGGGAAGGGACAGGCCTTATTGCATCACACCCTCTTCCAAGACTAGAGAGAGCCAAAGGCTCATGGCTTCTGTCTCCTGGCTCAACAGGTGTTGGCACACAGCTTTCTCCCCACCCTCCCCCCCACCAGAGTAGGAGCAGGGTTTGAAGGAGGAAGGGAGGGTGGAGGTGGTAAAGGTCAGAGATCAGAAGCCGTGGGCCTCCAGATGCAGGGTCACTGCAGCCGCAGGGGGCTGCATCTTCTTCTTGAGCCGGTTGAAGTCCTTGGCTGAGCGCCACAGCCAGGTCTGCAGCTCCTTCAGCAGCCAGAAGTCATCCATCTTCTGGAGGAAGTCGCTGTGGGCAGGGCCGGGGGCCCAGGTGGGCTCAGTTCCTGGCAGGGGCTGGGGCAGCGGGTAGCCCAGAGCCGCCATGACGCCCGCGATGCTGCCCAGCAGCCCCTGGAGGCTGGTGCAGAAGTGGGCCAGGCTGCGGCGCAGCTCAGCCGTGGCGGCCTGGCGGTTGAGGCCCCGCAAGTAGCACAGCAGGTGGCTGTAGGCCTCATAGTTCTGGGTCAGCCGCAGTTTGTCGTTGAGGCTTCGCCACACATCCAAGTTGACCGTGGCCCTGGGCAGAGTCTCTGCCCCCAGCCGAGGTGGGTTGAAGTCAGGCTCGTTGAAAGGGGGGCCCAGGTAGTTCAGCTGTGAAAAGGAGAGGGCGATGGGGAAGGGGGAGGGCCGAGAGCCAGCGGCCACCAGGAGATACCTGCCCCCAGAGCTTCTATGTCCCCTGTCCCCTGACACTGGGCCCCTCTCTGTTCCAGGGTCTCCCCTAAGTTTCTCCAGGGATGTCATTTGTATGGAGGTGACAGCTGGGGCAGTGGGGGTGATGAACTCTCCTATGGAGAGGTGTGGAAAGAGAAAAACACACAGGAGATGCTCAGGGAGAACGTGCTGATTGGCTGTGTGTGTAAGCCGAGGGACGTGCCCGCCGAGGGATGTGCCCACTGTGGGGCAGGGCAGAGAGGAAGAGGAGCCAGGAGGACCCAGGAGGCCAGGCTGCAGAGGTGGAAGGTGGGCCAGAAGAGTGCAGAGCCAAGAAGAGGAGTTCAGAAGGCAGCAGTGCTCAGCAGTATGGCTGCAAAACAGAGATCAAGGAGAATGAGCCTTAGAAAATTCTGTTGGGTTTGGCAGGGAGGAGGTGCCTGACAACCTTGGAAAGAGCTGTTTCAGTGGCCTAGAGGCCAGATTGCAGGGGGTTAAGGAGTGAGTGGGTGGAGAGGAAGCGGAGGCAGAGGGTGTAGACCACTCCTTCGAGAAATTTGGCAGGGAAAGCCAGGAGAGAGAAAGGGTCGGGAGCTAGAGGGGGTAGCAGAGTCAAGCAAAGGTTTTTGGCCAGGGAAGGGAAAAGCGAGTGGGAAGGCAGAGGGGCCCGTGGGAATCAGAGCTCCATTGGCCTCCTGACATGCCTGGTCCTACCCGCAGAAGGGCAGGGAATAGACAGTACTCACTAAACACGAAGACCCCAAGTCAGGGCTCATGGGAGCAGGGGCTGCAGAAGGAAGAAACTGAGGCAGTCTCTAGCACTGGGCTGGAGGAAGGGTATAGGAGGCAGTCTGGGGAAGTGGACAGAGATTTGCCAACCCTCAAGGGAGAGGCCTGGGGCCCAGGGAGAGGGCTGAGGGGGACGTTTCAGCTGGAGAGAAAGGGAGCAGTGTGGGGCGAGGCCTGGGATAGGCAAGGGCCCAGGGGGAGGTTCACACGCTGACAAGCACAGAGACAAACTAATTTCCTCGGTGTATCCTGGGGCTGGAGCCAGCTCCCCCGCCACCCTCCTCCCCTTTCTTTCCCTGGCTCCAGAGTAGGGTCTGGGATGTGGAAGAGGAACACGGGAAGAGGGGGCCAGTTCCCCATGGTCCTCAGCAACTCTGACCCCCTTTTCTTCTCTCCTGGGCTCTCTGAACACCTCTGGATTGACCCCAGATCCTTATGGCACAACTTTCATTCATACCCTGAACCTCCTGCACTGCTGGCCTGGCTTTCCTGCAGCCCCCTTCCCCCAAGTCCCCCCTAGGAGGCCCAGCTAGGATGGGAGAGGCAGACAGAAGGGAGGCCCATGGGTCCAGAGCAGCAGGGCCCCAGGTCTGGGGCAGAGGCGAGCTGGAACACAGGCATGGGAGGTGGGGCCCCTCCATCCCCACCCAGCCCCGCCCGTGCAAGAGACACCACAACACGGTGTAAACAGAAGAGACTTCCCCAGCCCCCAGGGGGAGGCGGGCGGCTGGGCCGGCAGCCAGTGGGGCAATGGGCCAAGGCGGGTGCGAGGCCTGCCCACATGCCTAGTCCTGGGGCCAGGGATGGGGAGGAGGGGGGCACCTAAGAGGGAAGGGCAGGCAATAGGCCAGACATGGGGACCGTTTGGAACCAAAGGGCCCCCCTGGTCACTGTTGCCCACCGGGACCCCTCCACCATCCTGTCTCTCTCCCACCAACTTCTTCTCTCCCTTGCCCAGCTCCCAGACCTTGCCGTTGCCCCGGGTACTCACGTAGGTCCCAGCCAAACTGCGGAGTTGGTGCTCCAGGTAGCGGGTGAGGTCGTAGGTTTTCTGGATGGAGGGGCCAGGCCCTGGGTCCCCAGTGCGATTGAGGGCTGGCACTGCAGGGAGGTGCCAAAGCACAGCACACAGGCAAGCTAACATCCCCCACGAGTCCCCTATGGACAGGACGGGCAAGAAGCCATGAGAGCAGGCCCAGGCCCAGTGGACAACAATGCAGCTGGCCGCCCCTTGGGTGTCTGTCCCCACCTTGGGCCGGGTAGGGGGGTGGGGGGCCGCCAGATGGGAGGCAGGGGGGAAGGAGGAGGGGAGCATGTCTGTCCTGGGTGTGTGAGTATAGAGGCACGTATGTGTGGATGAGGATTTGGCCTCTGTGTGTGCATCTACCAGTATATATTGGAGAGTATATTAATGTGTCAGCTAATAAAGAGTCACCATATGTATGCCAACATGTATGTGTGCGTATGTGGAGGGATGGGGCCAGGCCTAGGGTCTGTGAATCAGTGTTCCCGGGATCAGCCTCCTCCCCCAGCCTCCCAGTCCCACTGGAGCCAAGGGGTGGGAAACAGCACATATCCCCGCTGCCAGCTGAGAGCAGGCAGCCCTGGGAAGGGCACGGGAGAGGCTGCCCCAAGACAAGTCCAAGCCGAGCCACAGGAGGCAAGGGCTAGGGTTAGATCCCCAGGGTCCGGCTGAAGGACATAGGGCTGGCTCTCATAGTCAGTGGTGGGTACATTCTAGCATAGGATTCCTGGGCATGGACTGGTAGGGTGGAGATTTGCCCCATTCTTATCTAGGAGGTTGGATGGGGAAAAGTGACCTGAATGAGTGTTGTTTGGTTGGTTGGTTTGGTTTTTTGAAAATTCTATTTATTTATTTCAGAGGGGGGGGGGGGTTGCATGAGTGGGGGAGGGGCGGGGGGGCAGAAACAGACTCCCTGCTGAGCATGGAGCCCGACTGGGGGACCATGAGGGGGACCCTGAGATCATGACCTGAGCCGAAATTGAGAGAGTCGAATGAGAAACCAACTAAGCCACCCAAACACTCCCCTGAATGAGGTCCTTTGATCAGCTTGCAGTGGAGACAGGGTGGAGATGGGGTAAGTGAGAGAGGGGAGGGAATATGATGTATTGGATGGGTTTGGCTTGTCAGCCAATGGTGCTGGAGAATTTGGACATCTTGGGATACCAGAGCCCAGGGGTCAGTGCCATGACGACAGACATAGGTTGTTGGGAAACATGATTTTCCTGGCTTTTAGGTGAGGTCCAAGGTGAAGAGAACAAGGCTAGGATTCAGTGGGCACCGGGGCTGGGTAAAGGCAATTAGGGTTAGGTTGGGGTGAGGCTATAATGGGCATTGGGTTAGGTTAGGTTTAAGGACTGGGTTACTTTTAAAGTTTCAGGTTAGTTTATTGGGATTTGGCTGATTGAGTGTGGTTGAGGTTTGAGTCCAGCTGGGGATGTGGTTAGGTTTGGACAGGCACAGGGTTCGCTGGGGCCAAGGTTTGTGAATGTGTTGATTTAGATGTCAGATGGGGTAACACACAGTACGTCACTAAGAGTAGGGCTCGTTTGGGTTTTAAGCTCCAGTAGGTGTGAGATCACGAGTAGTTTCTTCTGCTTTCTATTTTCTACTTTCAAAGTTTTATAATGACATTTGTTGCCGTGATAGTTAGAAATGACTTGGACACGGGGTTTGACAAATTGACCGCACTTAGAGGGGAAGATTGGAGCTAGTCGTAATGCTGGGTCAGGGTTTTAGAGAGGGTTGAAGACTCAAACTGTATAGAATGTCTATTACAGGGCAGAGGAGTCAGGTGGGGACTTCTGCAGTGGCCCAATCCATCAGTCTTGACCCTTTCAGAGGCTTGGCTACAACATTATTGATGGTGTCTGGGCACGGGCAGGGTGGGAGAGTGCACCAGGCTCAGAGACCCTGCCCCTGGGGGTGAGGGGCTCTTGGTTTGAGACCGTAGGTGGCTGCATGTTAAGTCAGAGATCAGGATCAGGCACATGACTGACCCTCTTGTCCTCATCCCCATCTGCAGCCCGCGGCTTCACCCCTTTCCTCATTCTGCCTCTCCACACCTAGCTTCTGCTGACTGCTTTCCCTTCCATCCACTGTTCCTCACATGCCAAGAGGATTCCAGGCCTTGCTCCTCTATGCCAAGCCTTGGGCTGCCCTCAGTCTGCGTATCTGGTAGAGTCACTCCCAAGATCCTAAGGGTACAACATGGGGTTGGTTTTGGAGGTTGGAGACCTGCCGAGGTGGGCAGTGGCCCTTCCAGCCTTGAGTTAGCAGCCGTGCTGAGGGTCCCAGCTGAAACTCAGATTGGGAGCTGGGCTCACCTCTTTCCCCCACCCTGCTTTGGGCAGCCCTATTGGCCAGACTCCTGAGACTGGGTTTTGCCCTCGCCATGGGAGAGGTGGAGCACAGGGTCAGGAACCCAAATCTGGTCTTGTTTTGTCTCCCCTTCTGGGTCTGTAGGACATCCCTGGGGAGAACTGGCTCCCTACGCAGGGACAACAGGGGGAGAAGCCTTTGGATAAACAAGAGCTAAGTCATCTGGGCAGAAAAACGGCTCATGAAATTAACCAGACCAGACGAGGCCCGTGTTTCCAGGAATATTTCAGTTCTGAGGTAACTGTGTCACTGCAGGCAGGGGGTGGGGTGGGGGCAGGGGAAGGAGCAGAAGGATCCGACTGACCCTCCCATGGAAAGAGGAAGGAGTCTCAGGTGTCTAGAAGGAGAAGAGGCTAGAACAGGAGAAAGGGGACTGGGCTCTGCTCTCTACTACAACAGCTTCCACTCTGGGCAAGATGTCCCCATATCTCAGACAGCAAACTGATAGCCATCTGGGGCAAAGAACACCTGTGGCTTACTTGTAAGTAGTGCAACTCTGAGCCGCCTGCAGCTTGCCTGCATCACTAGGAGGGAGGATTGGGTGGGCATCCTGGAGCCCTCTTCCATCCTTGTGTGTGTGTGCAGGTGGACCTGGCCCCTGGGGGCTGCGTCCTGGGCCCCCTCCCCCCAGTCCTGGCCCCTAGCCCAGCCCCCACCCCAGTTCTGCCTCCGGCTGCTGCCCACTGATTGTTTACATCCCGTCTTCCCTTGTGTTTATAAATCCGGCTGAGCACGTGAGGAGCTAATGAGCACAGCTCACGTTTCCTGCTGGAGCCCCCCACCCCCCATCCTGGCCCCCACCGGGGCGGTCCCTAATTCCATCCAGATCCCTGGGCCCTGGGAACCTAGGCTCCCCTCATGAACACACACACACACACACACACACACACACACACACACACACACTCAGCCCATGCAAGCGCATGGCCACCCTGACACGACTGCACAGGCTGCACAGGCAGGCAGACCCTCATCTGCATGTCTTCAGCCTGCTGCCCCTTGATCCCTCGTCTGCCCAGGCTGACCCCATTCAGTGAGGGTGGGGGGCTCAGTGGGGCAGCTATGCCAGAGCAGTCAGGATGGGTAGGACGAATCAGCCAGGAGACTGCACCTGGGATTGGTGCATAGGAGCCATCAATCAAAAAACATAGAAGCCAAGAAGGCATCACAAAGCCCCAGAGGTGCTGAAAAATGTGGGAGCCTGCCCACGACCAGCATACCGACCAGCATCCCGGTGACCTTGGAGGGATCTACTGAGGGGAACTGGGGTAAGGAAGTGGATTCCGGGGCTGTGTGTCCACTGTAGTGTGAGATCCAGGCACTGAGACTATAGGAAGTGGCCCTTGGGGGCTCCTCCTGACCTGCCTCCTCAGGGAAAAGCTCACAGAAACAGCCCATGTTTCCTTGTCCCAGACTGGGCTGGCTGCCCTCCCCTCGTCTCCTCTCCCATCCCCGTTCCATCCTCTCCTGGGTTTCCTATGCCCCAGGTCTCCTAGAAGTGCTTAGTGAGTGAGTACACAGGGGCCCAGAAGTCAGGAGCCTGAGCTTGGCCACCAACCCATCAGGTGACTGGGCTTGTGTGAGGACTGCACTGCGCAGCACCCGTGAAAGCAGAACCGTGTGGGGCCACATCTCTGCTGTCGTCGGCAACAGCTCCCTCCCTCTGTTTCTCTTCCAGCCTAAATGATAGGAGAAACTGAGGCCCAGGGAAGGAAGCAGACAGGTGGGCCGGCTGCCCTGCCTTGTGGAGTCAATATGGATATAGTTGAGCTGTCAGGGTGAGAGGGTTCCGGATTGTGCTGCAAGAGGACCCTGGGTGTTCCCAAGGGGTGCAGGATGGGGGGTGGGGGGTGCTGGGCAGCCAGCTGAGAGCCAGACTAGGGGACCAAGAAAAGGAAATAGTCTGGGCAAGTGTGTGGGTGAGTTTGAAAGGGTGTTGGTATTCAGAGGTGTGGGAGGGGCTGGGAGGGAGCCGGCAGGAGCCAGGGTGTGAATAGGCAGGTGGGATTGGATTGCGGGGAGGAATGTGAAGTGTCAGTAATAGAGTAGCTGGTGTGGCCTGGTGGTGTGCACAAGTGTGAACAGGGCCGGAGCGCAGGGCTCTGTGGAGGGCAGAGGGAGCCATTACACCAGTCTGCAAGAGAGACTGGGGAAGGGAGGGCTGCTAGGTGACACTTGTTGCCATCTGCCTGGTGCCTGTTTTCTCCCCTGGTTGAGTGGGTGTCTCCAGGGCAGTGAGGGTGGCAGAGCCAAACTGCGAAAGGGTGGGGGCAGGGTCTGGTGTGTCAGAGGAATGTGTCCCTGGGTCCCGAGGGAGGGGCAGTGTGTGCTCAGAGCCGGAAACGGGGTCTGTGGGGGTTGTGAAAGCCGGGAGGTGTCAGCCCCTCTGGGTCAGGGTCAGGGTCAGACAGTGCCTGACACAGATGTGTGTCCAGTACCGTCACCCACAGCCTCTCTCCAAGGCTGGGGACCCCCGGCGCCCCTCCCCTCCTGCCCCCGCCGGGAGGGCCGGGCCGGGCCGGCGCTGGAGGAAACTGGGACGGGGTCCTCAGGGACGGGGGTCTGTGGGGGTGAGGCCTTCTGGGGCGCAGTGTGGAGTCACTGGGAAGGAGGGTGGGGAGGGCAGAGACCAGGGGACTCCGGCGAGGCCCGGGGCGCCGGGGGTTTCCCTCGAGGGGCTCGGCTCGGGCCCCCCGGCGGCGGCCGCTCGCTGGCCCTCCCCACGGCGGTGACCTCTCGCTCCCCGGCCCCCTGCCCGCGGCGGCGGCGCCTTCCCCCTGTGTGGCCCCGGCGCCCCCGGCCCCGCCCCCGGCCCGCTCCCGCCCGGTCGCTCCCTTCCCGGCGGCGGGGGCGGGGGCGGGGTCCGGGGCGCCGGGCTCCGGGCTCGGCCCGGCCGCTGCCCTTTCCCGCGCGTCAATTCCCCGCCCTCCCGCGGGCCGCCGGGGCCGAGCGGCCGCTGCCCCGCTCCCGGGCCGGCGACCGACGTTCTCCCGCCCGGTCCGGCGCGGCTGCGCCCGTCCCCCGCACTAATCACTCCCAGGCCACGGCGGGCCGGACCGGGGCTCGCCGCCGCCGCCCGCGCCGCCGCCCGGCCCCTACCTGCCGCCAGCTCGCCGGCCGCGGGCAGCATGGTGGGCTCCGGCCGCGCGGCGCGCAGCGAGGAAGCCGCGAGTCCCGGGGCCCGGCCCGGCCCGGCCCGGCCCGGCCCGGCCCGGCTCTGCCCTCCGCCCTCCGCCCTCCTCTCCTCCCGCCCGCCCTCCTTCCCGCCCTCCCCTCCCCGCGGGCCGCGGAGGGAGCGCGGCGGCCCGAGGTGTCGGCCTCCCCGCGCCTGCCGCCGGCGCGGCCTCGGCTCCCCGCCTCCTCCCGCGCCCCCCGCGCCCCCCCGCGCCCCGCCGCGCCCCGCCGCGGACTCGCTCGCCCCAACTTTCGCGGGACTGCTTCCGCCGGCAGCCCCGGGACCCCGCCTGGCGGGGCTCCAGGTCGCCGGCTCCCCGGGTCAGCGGGTCGCGCTCCGGCCCCCGGCGCCGACTTGAGGAATGCCGCGTCCCCGCCCGGCCCCTCTCGAGGGCGCCCGCCCTGCCTCCCCCGGCCCGAGCCCCGCCGGCGGGGTAGCTGCCGCTCCCCACCCGGCCCCGGCTCGCGGCTCCCGGGGGGTGGGGGGAGCACGGGGACCGGATCTCGCGGCTCCCGGGCGGAGGCGGGGGCCGGGGCCTCGGACGCCGGGCTCCTACCTGCTCGGAGGTCCATGGGGCTGGGGGCCGGGCCGGCCGGGCGCGGCTGCTCTCCCGGAGGCTGGCGGAGTGGGAGGGCGAGCCGCGGCTCCGGCGAAGCTTTAATAATCCCATCCGCCAGGCCCACTCGCAGGTTTTTTTCGCTCGGTTTCGGATTTTTTTTTTTTTTCGGTGTGGGACATTCTGCAAACTTTTTTTTTTTTTTTCTGACGTGTAAAGCTGTAACCACAAATTGTAGCGGCCCTCCCCGGGGTGGGGGGAGGAGGGGGGGAGGAGGGAAGGGAGGGCTTCTGGGGCTCCTCTCCCTCCCACAACACCGAGGGGGGGTGAGGTGAGGCGAGGCTGCGGCGGTACCACCCTGGGCCTCCTGGGGGAGGGGGCGGGGAGGGCATCTGTCCGTCGGCAGAGTCCTGGAGCCAGGGGAGTGAGCCGCCCGGTTCTGTACTCCTCGGACGGCGTCGACCTGGGGTGTGGGGTCCCGGCGCTCACCCTACCTCTGCCTCCTCATCTCTAACCTTCCCTCCCCTCCCCCTCCCCCCGAGTAAATGCAATGACACATTCTCCCAAATGCCAGCGAGCTGGCTCCGTAGCGAGTGATGGTGTTTTTCCTGCTGCCCTTTGTCTGGGCTGGCCGCCCCCCTTGCCTATTGTCCCGCCGCCTGTCCCATTTCCAAAAGCTGGGGCTGAGGGAGGCGCTGGGGCTGGGGCAGGTGACTAACCGGCTCGCTATGCCCCCTAGGGTGGGGGCGGCAGAGGGCACCGCAGTCCCACCGGCCAGCTCGAAGGAGAGTGGAGGGCACTTGGCGGAGGGTTTTTGCCTCAGGTTCACAAGGTCCTTCATCCTTCCCAGTGGCCGGGAGTGTGCACATGGGTGGGGGAATTGTAGTTCATTAATCAGCACGAGGCACCGGACCAGTTTCAACACCAGAGGCTGCAGGGGTGACTCAGCGGGAATACTCCCATTCAAGGCGATGGACAGACCAAGAGTCCCCGTTTGTGAAATTCTTCCCCCAAAAGACTTTTGGTTTTCTCTCGCCTTTGGGGTTTGGGGTCGCTGGTGTTTCCAGTGGTGGGGTAGGGGTGGTTTGGTTGCAGAGTGCTCTCCCTCCTTCCTTCCCTCTGGCCTGGGTTAGGACTTGCAGGGGGGATACCTGGGAGACCCATAAGCCTAGACCCTCCCTAGAGGGTCTCCTTCCCACCCCCTTTCCTCCCTACAGAGAGCTGCCAGGGAGAGTGAGTGCAGAGGAAATGGCTCTCTCCCATCTGGGGCTTGCAGACAGTCTCCTCTTGGTTACTTCTTGGGGGACAGTCCTTTGGTCTCCAAGGCTTGAGTGCTCTAGATCCAGACCACCAATTAAATCATTTGGTAATAAGTTGCTTCTGTTGTTTATTTGTTTTTTCAAAGTGGGAGAGGCAGTGGTGGTGGGCCAGCCCTGGAAAGTGATTGCTCTCTCTGGAATAGCATCAGATTCTTCACTCCACACTCCTGCCCCAGTGCCCCCAGAGAAAGGAAGGCAGGCACCCTGCCAGCCCTGCCACAGCCCTTCCAGCCTGCAGGTCAGAGCCGGCGGATTGGTCAGGACCAGGGCCGGGTTCCCAGGGCAGCTCTTCCCTTTTCTGCACTGTGCAGACTGAGGTGGGGGGGTGTAGGGGTGGGGAAGAAGTTTGTTTTCAATTACCTCACTGGAGTGGGACAGACTTTGTTGTTGGTTTTCTTTCTTTCTTTCTTTCTTTCTTTCTTTCTTTCTTTCTTTCTTTCTCCTTTTTCTTTCTAAACAAGGAGAAAAAGAGCTGGGAAAGGGGAGCTGGTCCGGGGTTGGGGGCAGGGGGCTTTCCGGGGCATCAGTAGCAGCTCTGATGAAACCTGCGGGGGGTGTGTGGGGTGTGTGTGGGGGTGTCCTGCTGAAAAATGCTGGGGGGGCCTCTTCCCCCTCACCCCTCCACCCCAGCCAGTACTCTGGAGTTTCAATGACATTCTTGGCGGGTGAGCCCCACGATCTTTTGATGCCCATGCCAAGGTCAAGAAGGCAGATGCCCAGTGAGTGACTGGCACTGAAGCCAGCCATGAGGTCCTCGAGTGCCTCCCTTTCAGAGGGAGGGAGCCATAAAGGGAAGGGGGGGTACTATCCATCCTTCTCCCTGGTTTGCAGCCTGCTCCTTGTGGAGAGTGTCTGCACAGACAATGTGGTTTGGATTTGGCTGAGCCCCCTCAGCACCTTATAAAGCACCTTGCTGAGTCAGGGAGAAAGCAGCCCCCACACGGGAGAGGAGGAGGGGGGCAAGGGGAAAGAGCGAAAGGGGAGCCAAAGGAGGAGGGTGGGGGCTGAGAGCAGAGGAGGGAAAAGGAGAAGGAAAGGGCAGGAAAGAGGAGAGGCAAGGAGGCAAATAAATGGGTGGGAGTGGGAAGGAGGGGAGGAGGCAGGAGCCCAAGGAGGAAGAGGAACAGGGTGTGTGGTGGAAGGGGAGAGAAGCTCACCACGCTGCACACCCCCTCACCCTGAACAGCAAATGTTCACCTCAGGAGTCCAGAAACTTGGTCTGCAGGAACGGAGGGCCGTGGCTCCAAAATGGGGACCCAGGCCAAGTAGGTGCAGGGACAATGAGCTTTACACACTGACCCCCAGCTCCCAGCTTGATACACTGACCCCACACACTGGGGAAGTCCCCTTCTCCTTCTGCCTCTTGTCTAGACTTGCATGCCAGCCCTCTCCCTTCACCCAGGGGTGGCCAAGCCCCCCCCCCCATCTTTCCCACTGCCAAAGGGAAAATCAGCTCCATCTCCAAGCTGCCAGTGCCCCTCTGCCATGCCTGGGCAAAGGCAGCAGGCTAGGAGCTGCCAGTTGGGTTGGGGTGGGGGCTGGAATAAAGACCGAGCCTTTCTGCTGCCAAATCCCAAATAGGGTGGGCTGTTGGAACTCGGGGGAGTGGGATAGAAGGAAGAAAGGAGAAGCAGAGCAGGAATAGCCCCTCCAGCGTTTCTGTGGGGATGGGGACATAGGTGGCTGCCCTCTGATTTCCAGCTAGGATCCTCACGCAGGTTCCTGCCCCCCGCCCCCCCCTCCGTGCCCCCCCCCCAAGGGATTCTTGTTCTGGCATTGCTGCTGAGGGCAGGGCAGAGGTTACAGCAGACTCCAGCCCCCTTAGCCCCAGAGCCATCTGTCTTGGTAGGAGGTACAGGCATTTCCTGAACCCCTGCTGGGTGCTAGGCACTGCAGAGGACAGAGGGGACAAGGAAAACCCAACCCTGCCTTGAAGAATTTCATGGTCCTGTGACAAGAGGCACTCATTAAACTGAGATCAGAGGACGGAGAGGGCAGGAGAGCTCTAGGAGGAGGTGGAGCTTCAGGGTGGAAATACAGCTGTATGGCCGGAGGGGCAGTGGCAAGCATAGGAAGAGGCATGGAGGTAGTCCCTGGCCTGGCCTACCCGGCTCCCTGCATCTCTGCAGGTCGCCAGGCTGGGAGTCAGGGTGAGGGGCTTCCTTCCGGTTGCCCAGTGTGGCCTTGGGATAAGCCATCACCCCTTCATGAATGAGTTATGACGACCTAGGCCCTCTTCCCCCTCAGGATGGCGGGAGATCAGTGAGCTCACGAGGAGGACACTGCTTTGGTGCTCACTCTGCCTTCCAGACTCCAGGCCTTATCATCCACAGGGAGTGGCAGACCAGGCCCCAAGGAGTGTGGCTGGGAGGGGGTCAGGGCTGGCACTGGGTGATGCCTGAGTTGTCCTCCACAGGAGTGGGGGTGAGTCAGTGTTGGCTCAGGGACAGGCTAGACCCCCTCCTTTCCCTCTCCCTTCCCTTGCTACACCCATAACTGGTATCCCCAGGAAAGGCACTCCAGACACCCCCAAAACACCATGACCCACACAGCTGCAGAATTGGCACTGAGGGGGTCTTAGCCCTGAGGATGTCATGATTTCTGACTACGGAGACTTCTGGTCCAATCCCCTCCTGATGTTACCCATCAGCAAGAGTATGTTGTTGAAGAAGCCCACAGAGGTAAGTAAGGGCACTTGTGAACTCATTCCTGTGCTCACCAAACATCTCCTGGGTAGACAGTGAGGAGCCCCAGAGGGCCATCAAATGAGGGTTAGAGGCTGACCAATGTGCAGGCAGGAGAGGCAGGGGCCTGCCAGTGCCTGATGCAATGCCTGACATTTCATGGTGACACTTTTATACCTTTTAGGACTCTAAGACTTAAATACTGGCAATAGTTTAAACATACTGAGCTCTCACTCTGTGTTGGGTCCTGTGCTAAGGTTTTTTGGGACGATACCATCTTGTTCTTACAGTAACCCTATAAAATAGGAACTATGATTTACCCATTTTATATGTGAGGACATTGAGGCTTGGTAAGGTGAAGTCACTTGTCTTAAGGTCACACAAGGGGCAGAACCAGGACTGGAACCCAGCACTGTCTGCCCTCTGAACTATACCACTCAGGATGTAAGGGTGATCTGGTTGTGACATCTGTCACCCCATTGATCACCAGGGTTGATTCGGCTGATCTGGCTGGCTAGGTGAGTGTCTCCTTCCTCCCTCACCCATTCCATGTGCATCCCTCCAGAAGCTGAGGGCTTGGTTGAAGAAGATGACCATCATTGATAGAGGAGGACCGTTCTTTGGTCAAGGGTATATGAGTAGCTGCACTCACCTGCTAAAACCTCCAAACAAGCTCTCAAGGTCCATTTGAACTACACCACTCAGGCACTAAATGGGGAGGGAGGTCCTAAAAGGGGAAGAGGCTGGGTGCCAAAGACTGGCTCCAGAGGCAGCAGGACTTGTCAGAGCCCCCTGGCTATGAGGTATCTCACCTGGGGCCAGCCTGTTTTTAAAGGACACTAAGAAGAACCTTGGGAAGAAGGAGAGCCCCTCCAACCCCCCCCCCCCCCCCCCCCCGTCCCCGTCTGCACCTGGAGCTGGAGACCTGGGCTCTCATGCCCTCCACCCATCACCCATGGCTGACACAAACTGCCTGTGTGATGCTGGGTCAGGTGCCTGACCTGAGCCCTCCTGGGGAGGGGAAAGTGCTCCATTCCCCTCAGCTAGAATTATAGATTCCATGAGCAGGTAAGCATGTTTGAATCACTGAATGAGGCTGAACTGGGTGTTAGATACCCACCTGCCCCAGCCAGGGTGAGGGCTTC